GCTTCCTGGCCGGCAAACAAAGAGAACAACGAAAAGAGTTTTCAGAGTTGTTTTTGTTTTCTTCTCTTTCATACAATATTTGTTGATTCATTCGAATTCGAATTCGGTGTTCGTGGGAATTATCGCGCCGCGCACGCACACATGCACACACTCACGTATAATTAAAATTGCGGCTTCAAAGTTCGATTCCTTGGCGAATTTCAGCTGGCTTTTACGCACTTCCTTGGACGGAAGCACTTGAAACGGGTTCCGGAAAACTATTAACACAGGCAAATGACAAATGGGCCAATACATAAGGGTTCTGCCACAGTTGGCTTCCCCCTATTTTGGATGCGCTGTGTGAAATGAAATCTCGGATGCCGGTGGTCGCCGTAACGCCCGCGGCTTCCGTTCCCTTCCTCGCACTCACACACACACACACACGCGTGCCCGTTGTACACCTTTTAACATTGGCTTTAGCTTTAGCTTTGCGCCGGCGGATGTTTTGCTTGTCATTGCCATTTTCATTTCCATGCCCATTCGCATTTGCCATTCTGATTGCCCATGCTCGCCGTCTTTAGAGTTTTGTCGCGTTTTGTTTTGATCAGCTCGTTCGCAAGTTGGCAATTCGCCGCTGCCGCTGCTTTTGCCTCTGCCGTTACCGCTGCTACCGCGTTTGCTAATTGTTTCCGCTTGCCGCATAGTTTCTGATTATTATCGTAATCGATGCAATTCCGGTTTGGCACTTGCCTTTCTATGTCGGCCAACACAATTGAACAAACCACTGAGCCATCATATAATTGTCAGTCATACAAATGTGGGCCATTTATTAAAATGTGGTCATGGTTAATAACAGCAGCTGCTGCTGTTGTTCCTACTGTTGCGGCGACTATTATTTTCGCCTCATTGTAGCTGTTCTTGTTGTATCGATATGACAGCGCAGCGTAGTGATTGTTCAGCGCTTCCTTTCGCGTGTGACCCGCCCCTCTCTGAACGGCATCACATATGTACATGCGATCGTTCAAACGGACCATTTTTGTCTTATTATTTCAATGGCAACAAGGTCAAATTTAATTTTGCGCTAGAATAACAAAAATAAAAATATAAAAATATTCATTGAAAGCATAACAACAGATAACGCACGGCGAAATTTGAATACTCTTACTTAACAGCGCTGTTAATATGTATAGCAGGATTATGCCAGCTGTTTAACAGTTGACATAAATTATTTTTCAAAATTGCGAAAATATCGGGGACAGATTTACGCTTTCAAATTGTCCATATTTATAACACTTAAATTTTGTATAAAATTTAGGTCACATTTATTTAGCATTATCTTTAAAACCTGCAAACCTGGTGACTAAGTTTTGAGGCTCTTTATTTGTTTACTGCACGTACAATCCGGTGTTGGCGTATTATTGTTGCCGTTGATACGATTAAACAATTGTCCGCTTGTGAAAGCATTTCCGCCACTTGACTTCAGTCCGCAAACAAACACATATAGACACACACACACACACTCACACAGTTCCTTCTTGTGCCCCTCTGCCAATGAATCACTTCCATTAATCAGCGTCATTTCTATCTGTCGTTTGCAGCTCACTGCTTCACGATGCAATTGGAGGCCAGTTACCCGAAATATGCCGGACGCGTGCCGCCATTGGATCTGTCCCAGGTCAACGCTGGCCAAGATCAGTTGCAGCAACTGTGGGCGAACAGCAAGCGTCATCATCCCTACCTACAAATGTTGGACAAGACTTTGCTCAGGTCCGATGACATCAACAACAATAACAACAGCAGCAGCAACAACAATAACAACAACAACAGCAACAACAACAACAGCAGCGGCATTCAACATCAAAAGAGCAGCCTGCCATATCCCATGGGCTCCGATGGTTTGCCATTGGATCCGCGTGATTGGACACGTGCCGATGTGTGGAAATGGCTGATCAATATGACCGTATCGGAGGGACTCGAAGTAACGCCCGAGCTGCCGCAGAAGTTCCCAATGAACGGCAAAGCCCTCTGCCTGATGAGCATGGATATGTATCTGTGTCGTGTGCCCGTCGGCGGCAAGATGCTCTATCGTGATTTCCGTGTGCGTCTCGCACGCGCCATGGCGTTGCTCTCCTAAAAAAAAGAATCCCATACTGAATACCCAAGCGAAATACCCTAAGGTTGTAAATATACCTAGTATATATAGCATACATATACATAAATATACAGATATATATAGAGTTACCTAGTCTTAAGCCGTAGCCCTAAATGCATTTGCTTAATCGCTTAAGTGGTCGAAGTATGCCCCGCCAGTGCCCAGGCTCTATCTCTTATTAGCCAGCGGCCCGGCTGCGGGGCCTACTTCAAATGCTGTCCTATTAGTCATCTAAGTATTTGCATCTAATGAAAATATAAAATGAAATTTTATGAAAAATCAAATGAAATTTTCATGTGTGTTTTTATTTGAAGTGGATTGAATGGTCTTTTAATGGAAGTGGATCTTAAGAGGTGGAAAGCATTTTCTATCCTCTACAGATATGGCGAATGAAATAATGAAAGAGTCGGAGGGGAAACTTACATATATAATGCTTAAGATCAATTCTCATTGGGTTTGCATATATATTTAGAAATGTGGATTAGCTAGACAGAAGTCTAATTTGAGAACAAATTTGAAATATAGTATTTTATTGGAATATAGTATAGTCAGAGTTATTCAAATTGAGCTAATCACTGAAGGTCTTAGAGTTAAGGACCGTTCATAAAGCAGCCATGGAGATATTTACAAAGCTGTCTAGTGTAATTAAAAATTGAAGGCAGTTGAAGCACCTAAATATCTTAACAATGCAATTAGCTAGATATAACTGTCGACATATGCCAGATGCTCTGTCTAGGTATTCTGTCTGGCAGTAAAACCAAGATAAGTCTTATCAAATAAATTCCGATAAGTGGCTAGGTATACAAAAAAAAAAAAGCTGCAAAAAGTATTTCAAAAGAAAAACCTTCAACGTTTCCAGTTCCGGACTTCAACTGATATGCAGAAAGTATTTATAGAAGATTAAGCTTCCACTTAAAGTATTTAAAAGAGATTAAGCCATTTACTATACAGAATTATCTCTCTCTCCCTCTCTCTTTTTCACTTCCTCTCCCTTTTGGGATAACTTGATGTGCATAAATTCCCAGCGTATTCTTTCTTAATCTTTGACTTGACTTTCTCTAAACAATTTTTGAATGGGCACAAGTTGTTGCATTTGAGTTGAGCATTTTATGTGCTGTTTATGTCTTTCACAATTTAAAATGGAACTATGCACTATATATATATATATATACATGTGTATGTGTAGAACAATGTGTAGGTACTAAAGCGGCGCATTGACATGTTGCCCCATTAGCAGATCATTAAGGAAAGAGCCGAACAAAACTCGTATTGTATCTGGAATGGAATGGAAGTGCAATAAACTCTTTGTTATTGTTGGCCAAGAAGTTAATGTTAACATTCGGCAGAACACCCATGAGTCTTTATTTTTAGACCAGACAGAGCGTGATTTATTTGTGCAAAGAGAGTGAGAGAAAGAGAGTGAGAGAGAGAGAGAGAGAGAGTGAGAGCGAGAGGCCGAAGGGTGACTGGGGCAAAGTAGTCTAGACTTTGCTGCTAATTGTGAAGCAAATGATATTTGCTTGAAGCAACTCGAAAGGTTGACTAGCTAGGTTTTCATAGACTTTGGGAAAGTCGTAAAAGGGAGTATTGGTTTTCGGGTAATAGGCGGAAAAGGGCTTGACAAAGGGCAGAACAACTTGAGCTAATATGTCAGCACTTCCTTAAGATCACAAACTGGGTAAAGAATTCTACAATCCCAAACTCTGCTCTTGGTTAGGATATTTGCTAGTCGGTCACTTAAGACTAGAGCAATCTCAGTTGCTTCTATTTCCTCTTTTTTTTTTTTTTTGCACAATTATGACAACAACAATAACTACTCATGATAATCAGCCAAATAGAACCCACAAAAAAAAAAAAAACAACTATACTACAGAGAGAGAAGGAGAAAGAGAGAGAGMGGCATATAGGGAGTAAGGGAGACAGAGCTAGGTAACGCTAGGTATACAGTGCTAGTTGGTGATTCAAGCGCTTCATCCGCCCGTGCATCCGCTTCAGTTGGGTTTGCTCTATGAATGAATAGCTACAGATACAGATACAGATATAGATACAGATACATGCACAATCATAGATACAGATACGCCGGCTCTTCCTGTATGTGGCTGCTGCTGCTATTGCTGCTGCTGTTGTAACTTTGGAACTTTGCATTTAGTGCAGTTTTATAAATTTGTCTGTCTGTCCGYCTAGATGTCTGTGTGTGTATTTTTCTGTTTTTTTAATTCTCTCTTTAGTTTGGCATCCGGGATGTTGTTTGTGCGCCAGTCCGAAAGGTAAAGGAAGTGAGACAAATGGGCCAACCACCGACAACAACAACGACAACAACAACAACAACGGGGGCAAGTACTTTACCTTTATGCGGCTACCTTGTAATATGAAACAGATGTCGTGAAGAAGCGACGGCCACGACCTGCCACATGCCACATGCTGCATGCTGCATGCCTCATGCCGCATGCCACACACAACACAGCTGACGCAACGAAATTTTGTAAGCAGCAAGAATATTGATACAAGTGAAGAAAGTAGAAGCACCTAAATAAAGAGAAGTATAAGAAATATATATACATTTTTTTTATAGACGTTAAAGCAAATGCTGTCAAAGTTCATAGGGTCGATAAGATCAGATTCCCATAAAATCTATGCGATCTATAATGTCCATAGGGTTTATTGGCACTAAGGGGTCTACAGGGCCTTTGGAGCCTATAAGGTCTGTAGAGGCTGTGTCCATAAGTCCTTAGTTTTACAGATAGAGCTGATGCAGAAGTTATGGAATACAACCTTTGACAGCGGATAGTCCTCTTCTCATAGTAGGCAGTTGGGAAATACGTATAACTTTCTTTTAGATTCCTTTTTTATTTAATTTTTGTTTTTTAAGCTTTTTTTATTATTTCGTTTTTTAATCTAAATCCAAAATGCAGGCAAAATGCAGCATTTTAAAGAGGTGAGCACCCTGCGCACAGTATTTCCTTTCAAGTAAATACCAAGTCTTATATCGTAGCATTATGCCCGTAAAAATATACAAGTCAACCAGTGCCGTATACCTGACCTGCATATCGAAGATCTCGGTATCGGCTTTTGTGCCCGAGTGCAATCAAAAGCTGGTGGTGGAGAAGGCCATTGTCCAGGCCCTGGACGAAAGCATGATGCCGCAGGCGTACGCCGACCGGCAGCAGGAGGCCGAGGAGCTGATGCACCGTTCTCAGACAAACTTTCGCAAGCTGATTGCCGAACGGAGCAAGACCGGTAAAAAGATTCGTTGGGCCCAAAATACCCAAGTAATGGCAAGTAACAACGAGTTGGCAGTCGTGCCGCAGTCGTCTGCCATCAGGAAGCTGGCATCCGGGGAGCCCTCGGAGAGGGGTAAGGCCGTCAAGAAGAAGGTGCGATGGGGACAAAATACCCAAAAGTGCTTCAACAAGGAACTCGAAGCCACACACCCGATGCCCGTTACCAATGTTCCTCTCAATGATAATCGCACCTGCAAGTCATATCGTCGCAGCAGGCCCAAAAAAAGGCGCATTCGAATCACACTGCCGTTCATCGATGTTGCGGCAATTTGTGCGTAATTTGACTTGAGTTCCTAGTTAGAATAATTCCCTTATATGCCCTTTTCCTCCTTTCCTACCTCCTTCCCCTTCCTCTTCTATTCACAGTGGAGTTCATCAAAATTCTGCTTCTGATGATCGGTTTGTGCATTACAGTCTATCTGATGGCCGATCTATCACAATGAGTATATTTCCGCCCTGTTTTTCCGCTTGTAATTTTCTTAATGGAATGTGAAAATGTACAAATGTGATTTGTGAAATGTCTGGCTGTGTCTGTGTCTGTGCCCGTGTCTGTTGCTTTAATTTCCCCCGATCGAACCATCAATCAAGCAATGCGAATGCGTTTAGCAAAACAAAGGCGAATAAACTGAGCTCAAAGACCGGGAAAATTTTTGTAGGAAATGCCGCTTATGTAAAGTAGAATATCCGCCGGGGCGACCCGAAGTCCAAAACGGAAGCCAAGGTGCGAAAAACAATAAAAAAATACAAAATCTAACCAACCAAACGGAAGTGGGAACCAACGACGTTTCCCTCCAAGCTACAACAACAACAACAATCGTCATCATCATGATGATGAAGAGCTACAATTCTGAGCTACAGATTTTGCCAATTTACTCGAAATGACTTTTCACCCATTTTCCGGCAGCCAAAAAAACAAAAATTAACTTTTCTATAGCAAAGGAAATGACTTAACTAAAATTTTGTTGGTTGCTCGACATCAATAGGCAAAGCTGAAGTGTTTCGAGTTTCTTGTTAATCAAGTTCTGACCCGAAGTTTGTCGAGTAACAAGCAGCAGAAATAACACCAGACGCTAAACGAAACATCAACAAACGAGACCCACAAGTATTTGGGGCCCAATAGCGCGGGGGTTACGATTGTGCAATTGAAACTCTTCGGGGGCAGCCGCCTCTTTAATTAGTTCATTGGCAGCAAAACGAAGGAAAACCGGGGAATGGGCGCGATATTTCCCACGAACTCTGCAATCGACGGGGTAAACAAATGAAATGAATCAACAAATATGAAAAAATACAACTTGAAAATTGAAGAGTAGTGTGGGCTGCAGAAACGGCTGAACGGCTGTCAGATACCCTGTAGGTAGTTGGAAAGTGCTAAATAATGAGAGGGGAAAAATGGGAAGGAGAAGGGAGTTAAAGAGTGAATAGAAATAGTGATAGAGTGAAGCGGATATAGAAAAAGAGAGAGAGAGAGTGATAGGTAATGGAGAGAGAGAGAGAGAGAGAGTGAAAGAAAGATAGATATAGAGTGAGTGGAAGCGAGATAGAGAGGGAGAGAGGCAATAATCAATTTACTTGTAAGAGAAAATGAGAGATAGATAGGGAGAGATAAAAGGCGTTATATGATTGGAAAAAGACCGATGGAGTATGAGTATGAGTAGAAAAGAGAGAGAGAGAGAGAGAGAAAAGAGAGAGAGAGACAGAGATAGCGATGCAATTCTGTTGCAATAAATCAATTCAGCTTCACATTTAAAAACTTTCCATTTTCATTTCCATTTTCAGCATGTTGAAATTGTTCGATCTTAATTTAAAAGCAATAAAAATAGTCATATTGTAAATAAACTCGTAGCTTCAGCTTTCAGACCCTAGCTTACCCTTTCAGTACTTCTCGTCTAACTGTTAAATCAACTATTTGCTCAGCTACCCGCAATTGCCAATATTTACGCGGTATATTTAAGTAGAAAACACATAGAAGAGCCCTGTTCCACACGCATACACACACATTCTCTCTCTCTCACTCTCCTCTCTCTCTCTCACTCTCCTCTCTCTCTCTCTCACTCATTCACTCACACATCAAATCGAACGCCCGCTTGGAAGCTGCCTCCAAAGAGCCACTTGTTCCGCGGCTCGTGTTTTGTTTGTTTATTTGAAGTTTGTTGTTGTTGTTGTTGTTGTTGTTGTTCAGTGAAATGTTGAAACATGCTCTGTGTGGCATTAACATATGAATTGATCGAAGCTGGGAAATTTGAGACAGCAAGAAAATGTAAAGAATGAAAATGGACAAGCCCACGACACGATAAAAGCTATCTAGTTATATCTAACTGTCCGTCCGACCGTCCGTCCGTCGGTCCGTTTGTCCCTGTCCCATTTGGTGACTCAGTTTGACTGCGGATGCCATAAAGAATGCTTAGAGTACGGCTTGGATAAAAACCTAGATGACGCGCTGTGTGGCATGTCATTAACACTAAAAGTTCAGGCCGACTCCAAACGATTGATGAAAAATAAAAAAAAATATAGAAAATTAAATTCGAGCTTCGGGCGGTCTTTGGGGAGAGAAACTAGAAACTAGGGAATTAATTAGTTCATTTTCATTAAACGCAGCGGGGACCACCACGAAGCAACAGCAGCAGGCGGCTGCAGCAGCAGTAGTTGGGGGGCGTGGCCACATTTGACAACATCCGGTTACATTAGAGGCAGCTCCCACCCCAAAATGCAATAAATGTGGTGGTTACAAAAGCACTTGAAGTTCAGTGGGTTTCTCACGCCCACGCTTGGAGCTCCCAATGATTGCCATGAGAAGGGAAAAGCCAAAAGCTGTGTGAAATGCTGCTCAAGAAAATGCGACAAAGACAAAGCAAAAGAAAGAGAGAGGGAGCCAGTTAGAGAGAGAGAGAGAGGCCACTAAACTGCCGCAGAGTGAGTGAGAGAGAGCGAGCGAGTGGGCTAGAGGCATTCTGCATAAAAGAGTGAACTGATTGCCACATCTCAAGTTCATGGGAACAAATGGAACGCTGCGACGCGATGTAGTCAAGTGTAAAGAAACTCTTGTAGCTCCCCTCTCGCGTCACCTTGCTCCCCTCTCGCCATAAATTTTGGCTGCTCTGCTTTGTCAGAGTCTTTGAGAGCAATAAATAAATTCTTGTAATTTAATAACATGTGTGTGAAATGCGGGGTAGAGGTTACTGAGTGAGAGAGAGAGAGAGAGAGAGAGAGAGAGAGAGAGAGAGAGAGAGAGAGAGAGAGAGAGAGAGAGAGAGAGAGAGAGAGAGAGAGAGAGAGAGAGAGAGAGAG